GAACTTGAATAGCCCAGTTTCTTTTTTTTCCTTCCTTTAAAAAATAATAATAAAAAAAAAAAGACGATGTTGATTGCCAGGCAGGTTTTCCCAAGAATCCACAAGCTCAACTAATCATGAGCACTTCAGCCCTGTGAAATAATATTTCCCTTACATGGGCTACTATAAAAACAAGTTCTGCACAGTAGGCAAATTTAAAATAACTTTTAATTAACATTTAAGACACAGAAGTCTGATCATGCAAATTCATCTGCGTCTCCTCTCTGCGCCTGATTGTTCCTGATTGAATACGATAAAAATAGACTTTGTATGAGTCAAGTGTAGGCATGGATTTCTTTAACTTCTCCTCCCCTCTGATTATGCATTTCCTTAGATAAAGTGGAAACCCTTGGATGGCTATTAACAGTATCATGGGTCAGACTGGAAAGGGCATCCTGCTAGATACGAGTTAAAGATTGCACTGGAATTAAAGGCATTCCTTCTGTGAGCAAAGAAAATGCCTCCACCTTGCATAAAAACTCACCTGAGACTATCCAGCATTGTTCTGTCTCAGCTGACTTTTAATCTCTGAAATACCAACACTTAATTTCAGAGCACCTCCTCTGCATCTGAGGTGAGCATCTGGCCAGAGGCTCAGCTACGGATCTGTATTAATACAGAAAAAAACGCAACTCGCCTGCACACAAGAGATAAATATTTGAAGGGAGACTGAGGAATTTCCACATAATTAAGACATGTCAGAGGACATGACCCTGTTATGAGTAAAAGGCACTCTGGATAACAGAGGGCACACTGATACCAGTACCTTTATCTTGTAACAGTTATGGAGCCAGTTTCCCAGTAAAACTTACTACAAAGCCTTTGTAACACAGTTCAGCTAAAACGTCATTATTTTACACCAGCTGATGATTTGGCAGATGCCAAACCCACCAAAAATGCCACAAAAATGAACTAGCACAGCTAATCCCTAAGGACCACGGAAAACTTGGGTTTGGGGGATTAAACTACCCTTTTCTAAGGCACCTGACCCAGAGCCTGTGGGCACGGGCTGGTCGGGCACGGCATGGAGACAGCGTTACCTCTGCTCACCCAGAATTGGTACCTCTGCTCTTTGGCAGAGGGGAGAATTGCCTCTCTCCATTTATTTTTGCAAGCAACAATGTCACATGAAGAACACAACACAAAGAGCGGGCTGAAGTCCCTTAGCTAGCCAGAAGAGCTTTCCCTGGGTCACGGTCCTGCACTAAATCATTAAAATTGCCCAAAATAGCTGCCTGGGATGTTTACAGGGCTTCATAGGATGCTCCACTCCTCTGGTGCAGATCTGATTGCTTCCTGCGCTGGGGCAGTCTCTCATAAGACATTTCCTCGCTGTTAGCTGCTCTCTGATGCTTCTCAACACAGCCAGATAGCATCGCAGATCGAGAAAATATTCACCATCACAAAAAACAGAGCTGGAAAGGACTAGAGGAGGTCACCTCGCCCTCGCTGTCCTCCAGCGCCTTCCAGTTTGATGCAGATAGTCCTGGTCGTGACTGTCAGGACTAGTCATGACATGCTGATGGAGTTAACAGCAGACTTTAGTTTAAAATTTTTTCGTCTAGAGACCGTGATTTTTCCCCTCCATATAATTTCAGGATCCTTTGTATGAGAAGGTGGGGGTACTTCTTCCCCTGCTGCTGCACAGGACGTTCCCCCGGCCCTTCAGGTGATGTACTGCAGGGTATGGCAACCACGCTGATCCACTTCCATGTCAGCAAGCAATCACAGAATCATAGAATGGTTTGGGTTGGAAGGGACCTCAAAGATCATCTAGTTCCAAACCCCCTGCTGCGGGCAGGGACACCCTCCACTAGACCACGTTGCCCAAAGCCTCATCATTTGGAGTTTTATCAGAGTAGCTTCAATTTGTACATTTAAGGATCTTCCGTGTGATTTTTATTGCTGTTTTCCCACTTCTCATCATTTTGATCACAGCCCATCTGTTATTTCGGACATCCGTTAACCACCGTACCTCTGCAGGTCATCAGTTTCTGCGGACGCATGAGTTTGGCTCCTGTACGCCTGAACTTACACATGGTCCGTGCATGCATTCTCTTCACCTCCCCGCATGGCGTGCCCCACTACGGACGTGATCTGACTTTCTTGACCATTGCAGTGGTTGTTTTCTTCTCTCCGGTCCTGTTGTTACGTTTCGCACAGTAACATTAATTCCCACTGCCGAATACATGAGCTGTGACGCCAGCATGGTGCAGTGTCCTCCTGAGCTACATTCTTATCCAGAAACGATTAAGTCTAAAACCACCCTGGCTGAATGACAGGTAATTTAGGAGCGCTATAGGGTGGGCCTTTGTATGTGTCTATGCTGAATACGGTTGCTTGAGCTCCTTTCATCTGGCAGCTTTCCAAGAGCAAACCACAATTTCAGTTATTCAGCCTATTTTGTTTTTACAACAACATCTCAATACAGAAGTATTTTAAATAAAAATATGCTGTATCTCTTCAAACAGTCCCCAGTCTTAAAAGAAACCACGGGCTTTCTTACCCTCTGAGGAGGTGTAGATTTCCTGGAAAGATATATTTGCTTTTTTGTTGTTGTTGTTGTTGTTGTTTTTTGTTGTTTTTTTAAAGAGGTGTTAAAATGCAGATCAGACTATTTGAGGACAGCAAGGAGATTCAGCTCAGGTTTAATGAGACTGATGAGCTTGATGCTGTTCTCTCTGCCAGTCAGGGAAAAAAATAAATCATACTTTCACACTTGTGTGAAATTCATCCTGGCTAAACCCAGGAGTATATTTGTTTCCATAGAATCAGAAAATATTATTGTAAAACACTCCACCCTTGGTTTTCAAATCTTTACAAAGTCCCACGTGCTACGATGTAAAGCCCTTTGGCCCTTGCAAAACTCTTTCTTCAGTGATTGAAATTAGAGGAATAATGGTACACATCAGCTTGGAGGAAGAGTAGTGTTTTCTGATCCATTGAACACAATCCTATGGGTAATTCTCTTGATAGCTTTTATTCCTTCTAGGTCTAACACACATCAAGACATTAAATACTCTGAATTCACCTGAAAGTAAATTTCCATTATCTCACCTTCCATCAGATTCAGCTTTGGCAGGTGTTTTGGAAAGACATTAAAATATACCACATCTGGAGGGATGCTGCCCTCCCGAAGGCATGGATGGGGGTGTGCGACTAACCCTGACACGGCTCATCCTGCTACCCAAAACCTCACCTCCCAACCCACACTTGGAGACAAGGACCAGGCAACCTAGGTCAGCTGGAACAACATGTGCTTAAATGACATGGCCACTAGATGTCATTCCTTTTTCACTCAAAGGAGGGTTAAAGATGTATTTACCTGGCAGAATCAGGCCCCCCCGCAAACGCTAGCAAGCTGGGGCACACGTACTGCTGTGGTGACAAGTCCTGTGGCCTCGGAGATGCTGTAAAACCAGCCGCTGTAAAACTTTCCAGAGAACAATCCCATGCTGGCAGGAGAATGGACCACATGGCCCAAGGCTTGTATCAGATTTTTATGGCTCTTCACAACTGTACGTATCCTACTTAAGGAGGTGTTTAACGACACCTTCACAATACAAAGCTCGGTGTACTCAGACAGGAAGGCTGCTGGGAAACCCACCCCATGCTGCTGGACCAGCAGCGCAGGCTGCGGACTGAGGCCCCGACCTGAAAACATGTTGGGTGCTCCTACTTCTCTGGTTCAGGAGGAATTTAGTGCCTTTTTTCTGAGAATCTAAGTTCAAGTCACTTCATCAGAAACTGCTACCATTGCTCGGGAGCTGAGCACATCACAGCCGTGAGCCCGGGTCCCGATGGTGATGGGAGGGAAGGACCCAGACCCCACAGCTGGCACGGAGCTGATTTGGGTCCATGGTGGCATGAATTGGGCTCTGCGTGGCTTCCTGAGTTTTGCAACACACTTGTAGTCTGTAAGGGTAAAACTAAGGGGAAACTTTGGTACTGCATGGCTAAATAGTTGCATATCTTTTAAGACAGAATGAAAATTCAGAATAATATAAATAATAAAAACATTCCTCAAAGGATGTTCAGTGCCTTGAGCACAACACGGTTTGACTTTCTGTATTTTTAAAGATTTGGTATTAGTTTGAGATACACCATTTACGGGTCCTTGTTGACCCTCATAGAAATACAGGCAGTGGATACACAATGACTTCTCATTTATTAGCATGCAGACCTCTGCAGTGCTCTGTGGTTTCCAAAATTACCATGCATATTTCGGATGCTCTATGTCTATGGATTATGAAGGCTGGAAAGAACCAGATCACATCAGTTCACCTTCCGACTCTTCATTTTCACCTTTACCAGCTCTAAAAACTTGTCATTTGCAATCTCTTTATTTTTTCCCCATGTCCCCCAGTAATAGCGACTTGGAGCACCTAAGAACAGAACAGAGAAATACTGTACTAATCTCAGAAAGAATTTTAGCTGATTATAACCAGATGTACTGAAGAACATCTACATGTTCACTGCTGGCACACACAAATACATCTGTTAGAGCTATCAGTGAAATACAAATTTTACCAGATACCTGTTACCATTTAGAGTATTTACTGCCTCCTTGAAATCATCTCTGAGCTACTAAACCCAAAATATCTCTTACTGCTCAGGATTTCACTCATCAGTAATAACAACTCTGCTATGTCTACAGCCAATTGCTGTGAAACAACTGTATCCTCTTTGGTGCCATCAGACATAGTCTGTTTGCCACATTATTTCAGCTCCTTCAGACGTCGGTGAAATTGGTCGCCAAATAGTTTTGCTAGTTCATGAATCATTCTTCTTTTCCCTTTTGCTTTTTTCCCCCCTCCTTTCCCCCCCGCCCCCACAAGTCTTTGTTCCACGCTTATCTATCAAGTTCCTCCGAAGCTAAGAGAGATGACGGATATAAACATCCATGAGTTACAAACACGTTGGGTGCCCATGCATCACAGTGCCGATGTATGGATACTTACAGTGCTGGTAGTGAATTCGGGTGGGTTGTCATTCACATCTGTCACCGTAATGATCGCCGTTGCCGTGTTTGAGAGACCATAGTTAAGATTTCCTTCCATATCTGTGGCTTGAACAATGACTATATACTGCTGAACTTTCTGGAAGAAAAAAAGAAAAAAAAGCAAAGATGAGAAACAAAAATGTGTCCTGTAAAATGCCTTGGTTTATTTTCTGTATACAAGTGCAATTTTTAAGCAGACTAAGAAGTTAATCAGATTCAAACAGTAGTAAAGAAGACAGAGAAAATTTTCTATCACGTTTTTGAAGGGATTTTTGCATAGATGGTGGATATCACCCGTTTTATGGGAAAATAAAAATCTTGTGGGCAAAAATCCTTGGTCGAAACAGACATTTTTGTTAATTTTTAAGCATTTTTCAGCAACATTAGTTTCTGTCTTCTGAAAACCAGTAAAAATTCTGCTAATGTGTTTTCACCGAAAACATCACTAAGAACATTATACCCCCAAAACTGACAGCAACATTGCCTGGCAGCCCTCCAGCGCGCTCTGCTCGCACAGTTTGATGCCCACAAAGCATTTTGATAGTTAAAATACCTTCCATGTTTAAATCCTTAACACAGCCTTGGTAAATAAGGAGAATTTAAGTCCAGTAGGGAAAAAAATATTCACTGCAATAAACAAAAGTTCAGCGGAACTAATTTAAATTCCTGAGCTCCCCAAACAACGTGGCTCTCAAAGAAAAAGCTTTACAGACCCAGCCATAAAAATCATACATTAAAGTTCCTCTAAAAGACTTCTGTATGTCAGAGCAACTGGAAAATAAACCGGAATAAAATAGGAGAGGGCGTCTGCTCTTGCACGTGCGTACATCTCCCTGGGATGGTTCTTTACTTGTGAATATCTGCCCGCATCGAGAAAAGCCTCCTAATCTTTAAAACTGGCCTCAACAATAAGTTTTCATTTGGATCTGCAGGATTTGCTATGGATGGGTATACACGTCATGCTCAGGGTGCGCCGAGCACTTTGCAGGCGGATATGAACGCAAAGCTCCTCTCCTGAAATACGGGCAAAGTGACGTGCTGAGAACCAGGGAGGGAGCCGGCCAAAATCGGGGTGACTCAGGGCAAAGCTAAACACTGCGCCCTACTCCTTAAGGTTTAGGGTGTAATTACAGATGTGGGCTGGGGCGCAAGGACCGAGCGGCTCCGACGGCACATCGGAGAGCCTGAAGGGTGGGAAAAGCAAACGGAGGCACGATGCTACGCAGGAAAAGCTTTGTGCAAAGCCAAGCGGAGGGACACGCTGGGTTGCTCCTGCTCGCAGAACGCAGCTTAGATACTCGAGGGTTGCTCCGTTCGCGTGCCGATGTTACAAGCGTGTGTAAAATTTCCAGTGTCCTTTGAAATTTCCAAGGGCAAGAATTAGGTGTCTCGGCTGCTACATAAACATTCTTGAAGCGCTGTAACTGGCATAATTCTTTAATTCTTCTGAGTTGCTAGAGTAACAGAGATCTGAATTTTAGCTTTATCTTGATTCCAGGACTTTTAATTGACAGACAGTAACCTGCTAAACTGACAAGGTATCACACACAGGGATCCATCGGCACCTTGCAACTGGAATATATTATGGAAATGCACTTTCATTGTCTCTTGCCGCCTTGTATAATAAAACATGAGGGAGAAACTGTTGTTAGTCCCTTGTTTTTCCTCATGCAAAAAGCATTCCTCCATTTGTAAAGTACTGGGTAATTGTAAGGCTGAAATGTCCTTATTAGCGAATGTAATTTCTATTTCATATTTAGCTTTTCCTTCCTTATTCTCTCTCTTATAGACAACTTGGGAGGCTGACAGAAGTACTCCCTAACAGGCCAAATACTTGTGAGCCAAATTAGGTTTAAATCATAAGAAGGGGCAGAAGATATTTAAAAAAAAAAATAGCGGCAATCACATTCCACGTAAATTAGAAAACCAGGTCGGAGGCCCACAGGAGCGACGCCATTTCAACAGTGCATTTAAATGGCAAAGCCACCTCGCACACTCCTCACTGCGGTGCGACAGAGACACGTAATTCACAGCGTTTCCGATTCGGCGGCGTGGCTGTCACCCGTTATTGTAAAAGCTTCAGTGCTTTGGCAGCGACAGCAGGAAAAAGAACAATTTAAAGAAAAGTTCCTTCCTTTTTGTCGGCCGAGAGGGTGATGAAGCAGCCTCCATCGGCGGGGGTGCTTCGTTCTTAACGTGGCTCTTCTCTATTTTCCCGTGTTTGCAGCTGCCGGGC